TTTTCGATCCATTTGAGAAGTTTGCCACCGATGCCCATAATTCTCAACTTGTGTAGGAGACGCTGGTGCGGAACACTGTCAAACGCCTTCCGAAAATCAATATAGGCAACATGCACGGTGTGTTTTGCGTCCAGTGCTCGTATCCAACTTTGCATTGTGTATAGCAAGTTCGTAACACATGATCTTCCCCTACGGAAACAATATTGTGTATTGGACAAGAGGTTGTGGGTTTCCAAGTAAGCCATCAACTACTTTTTGATTGTTTTCTCCATTACTTTGCAGCAGATTGATGTCAGACTGACTGACTGACTGACTGCACGCCCTCTTGGCGACTGTTTCGAAGGCGGACAAGTTGATTGTAATTGGTGACATCAACGCCCGCGTCGGTACAGACCATACTGCCTGGAGAGGAGTGCTGGGTCCCCACGGTCTACACGGCTCAAACGACAATGGTCTGCTGCTTCTCCGCACCTGCGCAGAACACCACCTCATCCTGACAAACACCTTCTGTCTGCCGGAGCGAGAGAAGGCCACCTGGAGGCATCCTCGGTCGCGCCAGTGGCACCTGCTGGACTATGTCCTCGTCCGGAGGCGAGATCAGCGGGACGTGCTGGTGACAAAGGCGATCGCGGGCGCTGACGGGTGGACCGACCATCGCCTCGTCATCTCGAAGATGCGTATTCGCCTACAGCCTCGCAGGAGACCACAGGGTAAGCGACCCCCAGGTAAGCTGAATGTTGCCTTGTTGTCTTTGCCCGCTCACCATCTTCATTTCAGCAATGAGCTAGCTCAAAGGCTAGACAACCTTCCTATCGCTGCCGCCGCCGCCGCCGCTGCCGAGAACGCCTCCGTGGAGAACCCCTGGTGTCAACTGCGAGACACGGTTCAGTCGACGGCGCTCGCCGTCCTCGGTCGCGCTCCCCGCAACACCAGGACTGGTTCGACCAAAATGACGCCGTCATCAGAAATCTGCTTGCTGAGAAGAACCGTCTACACAAAGCCTACGTAGATCACCCCACTGATGCCACCAAAGCTGCCTTCTACCGCAGTCGCCGCCAGCTTCAGCAACGACTGCGCGAGATGCAGGACGCCTGGACTGCTCGCAAAGCTGAGGAGATCCAAGGATACGCGGACCACAACGAATGGAAGAACTTCTTCTCTGCGATCAAAGCTGTCTACGGTCCGCCGACAAAGGGCACTGCTCCTCTCCTCAGCGCCGACGGCAACACTCTCCTGACTGAGAAGACGCAAATCCTGCAGCGATGGGCCGAGCATTTCCGAGGCGTCCTCAACCGCCCCTCCGTCATATCCGACGCCGCCATCGAGCGTTTGCCGCAAGTGGAGACCAAAGTGGACCTCGACCTCCCGCCATCTCTCCAGGAGACCATCAGGGCCGTGCAGCAGATCTCCAGCGGGAAAGCACCCGGATCGGACGCAATCCCTGCTGAGGTCTACAAGCACGGAGGTCCCCAAATGATGGATCACCTGACTGCGCTCTTCCAAGAGATGTGGCGTCAAGGTGAAGTCCCACAAGATTTCAAATACGAAACCACTGTGCATCTCTACAAGCGCAAAAGGAATCGCCAAGTCTGCGATAATCACCGCGGCATCTCCCCGCTGAACATCGCCGGGAAGATCTTCGCCCGCATCCTCCTCAACCGCCTCAATAACCATCTGGAACAGGGCCTCCTGCGCTGAGGTCGACGACTCAGCGCACTTTCGCCTCATTATAAACAATCTGACGCGCTTGAAGCTATCACGGTGCGCTAAAAGCCGTGGCTTGGAAGGTTGCCAACTGACGGGGTTACTTGGACCTCCTCCTTGACTGGAGGCGGTCTGAGAGTCAGGCTGCAATGGCTCCTTTTTAATGTGGTATTTATGGCACTCCCATCGCAGTGTGGGATCCGAGCCAGGCGTTGGCGGCACGCCTAGGTGCGGCTTCGGCCGTGCCAGCCTCCAAATCTCTGTTGTGTTGGTTGAAATCCTGGTCATTTGTTTTGTGGACCAGGGGGTGTGGTGGAACGCAAAGGTGAGGATCCGTCCGAGCCATCCACCTGCGGCCTCCCTCGTCTCCGGTCTTCTTGAGTCTGTCTTGACACCGGGCTCGGGCGAGGGAGGAGGACAGAGTGTAGGTAGATGCTACGCAAGTCTACCGGCCCTATAAACCCTTGCGTAAGTCACCGTCCCTGCTCCCATTGCTGCTGCAACTGTGGGGCACACGGTGGACATCATCGAAACCGATGGTCGAACTGTCATCTCAGCGGACTCCAAGTGTCCCACACAGACGACGTTTTTTAAATTGCATCGAAAGGGCTTGAACGGAAATCTACTATATTGGCTAACCAACTTTCTTACATTGGTAACGCCAAATCGGAGCGGGCAGCCGTCCACAGCGCCGTTCTGCAGGGGAGCGTTCTGACATCGATATTATTTTTAAGGTATTTGAACGACTGTCTGGATTCCCTGGACTGCGAACGCGTAAAATGTGTCGATGTTCTAAATTGTGAAAATCAGTGGAGAAGACTGAGGGTGCGTCTCAACTACAAATCATGTTTGATCGTTTGCAGCGCGGGTGTAATGAGAGGTTCCTTAACTTCAACTTTAAAAATGCCAAGTTATTTGATTGCGATCTACCAAGACGGCATTGAATTCCTCTACATCATAAGAGGTTGCCAACTCGAATCAGTCAACGAGCCAAGAGACCTGGATCTGTGGATGACGTTCAGTAGCAATTCATCGCCTCATTGCGCCAAGGTATCATAGATGTCGTGGGCATTCTAGGCACGGTCAGAAGATCCATACTCCGCTTTGCCGAAAAGCTTTTGAGTCGAGTGTTTAGAGCATTTATCGGACCGGTGTTAGAATATTGCTTTCGGACGTGGCGCCCCTGAATGAAACAAGACTACATTTTTTGGAGAGCGGGCAATGAAGGCGGACAAACTAGTCAGAGGGCTGAGGTGCCTGCCTAATGAGGAACGACTAGAAAGGCTGCAAGTTTTTTCTTTTTTATAAGCAATACAGAGCGTTTATGACCATGGCTTTTAAACTTTTCAGATGAGTAGACTGTGCGATTCAGTTAACTTCTTTTTTGAACTGACAGAAACGACAACTTTTCGGGACCACCGATAAGACATAGTGCGGCTGTCCTGAAGTACGAGTCAACTTCTTCCCTCATTAAATGATTGAAGAATGGAATAAATGGTCTAATTCGATTGCTCTGACGGGAAGCGCTCGATCATTTAAAAGAAGACTTGATAGCATTTTGCTTGGTATCAACTTATTTGATTGACAAGGACTGATATAATGCACCAACATAACTATGTCAGCATGTGCACCTTTTCAGTGTATGGTGGTTTTCATTACTCTGCCCATTTCCCTCATATATACTAAATTAATGACCTGTGTTGCATTTTCCGAAGGAAGCAGCCTGAATTTACTAATGGAAAGCCATTACCGTATAGACGCACTCCGGTCCGAGCTGAAGTCTGCCGTATGACTAAAAGTCAAAGCTTCAGGGATTACCACGTTTTCCTTGAATTAAAATCATCTATGCGAAATTCATTGACCAAATCTTTTGGGCCATAGTCAAAAAATATTACCGGCTGAATGATGTCATTTGGTTAGAACGTCCAGGGACTAGAGAACGGCCATGACAGTTATGTCAAATAACATTGCGAAGTAGGGGGAGGACTACCTCTACAACTTAAAAATGTGAACAATAAATGAATACCTTGCGCATAAATTAACACAAGCTCGTGGTTTTACCGGAAGTCTTGTGCTGACTGATTCATTGTAAGTTAACTCATTAATACTCAAGGAGCATTAAAAACTAAATTTACAAAACTGTTATATATGTATATCAGCGAGGAGGGACGATAGAGAATGCGGGTAGATTAATACAGTACTGTTTCCGGCTTATTTTGCCCTCATTCAGCCAATCGTAACCCTGGCCAGCAGCTGGGACCAGAACCCCAAACATGAGCAGAGGCACACCTTGCGCCGTTAGTCCACCACTGGGGTATACCTGATGGTTCGAAAGCACTTCCTCGAACCAAAGTCCATCAGCGCCTCGTCACCTGTCATTTTCTGTCTCTGCATATCGGGTATTTATGACGTCGCCGACTTTGGTCTGATAATTGGTTTTCTATTTGTGACTTTTGTCACTCATACGGAACTTGTTTCCTTCGTGAAGCCAATATGTAGATTAGTGTGCGCCTCTTCCTGATTGAATGTATACATATACATATATTATGATAGTGGGCGCTCACCGATCAGGTTACGGAACGTGCTCGTTCCGTTGTGCCTTGGGGCTCATACTAGAACCCTCGCAGGCAGTCGCACAGCGACTAGTAGTAAACATAGATGAGATGGAGCCGACAAAGACAAGGGAGACCGGAATGGCCATTTCTGGCTTATTAGCCGTCATCAGCCAGTCATACCCAACCCCAAGTCGGGATCACTTGAGATTCGATCACAACCGACAGGACAACGGACCCGTGGCTCAATGGTACAGCGTCAAACTCCATGACCAAAGATTCCGGGTTCGAATCTCAAGTGATCCACACTTGGAGTTGGGTATGACTGGCTGATGACGACTTATAAGCCAGAAATGGCTATTCCGCTCTCCCTTGTCTTTGTCGGTACCACCTGATTTACATATAGATATACAGTGCGTGACCTATCTCATGAAATGTTGGTTGAAATTCTGAAATGCGTTTTCGATTAGGAAGGATTACTTGGTCGCGGTTGTGATACTGATTATCTCAAGGCATACTTTTATAACATTTTCGACTCGGCAGGATGTCGGCTTTTAAATGCACTTCTTTTTAATCTCCTGTAGAAAGCGTGCTCGGTAAAAAATGACTACTTATGTAACATGCATTTTTCCCATTGATTTTCGATGGTCTTGCAAATTCAAATATATTTTATAGAAACCGCTAACAAAAATATGCTTTCTTTTAGTCAATCAATAGAAAATCACGTCTTCTTTATATTTTATACTTAAGGAAGGAGTATAATTAGGTTTTAAAGAAGTTTTCCAATTGCCGAATAATTTGGAGCCTGATCATTCGTTGCATTAGCGCTTAGTGATTACACTCTACAAAGTGCATGCGTTCCGCGTAAAGAAAATCCCATATTTTTCTATGTCATTAAAGAGATATCATACAGGGTCCATAAAATTTTGCAATGGATGCGGACCATATTGTACACTTCATGAGGAGCAGTGGTAAACGGCCAGGTACGATGCTATGTGAATGGACATATCGCGGTCTTAAAAAGTCTCATAATTAGAAACTTTCTTAAAACCTAATTATACTCCTTCCTTAAGTATAAAATATAAAGAAGACGTGATGCTCAATTGATTGACTAAAAGAAAGCATATTTTTGTTTATGGTTTCTGTAAAATATTTTCGCATTTGTAGGACCATCGAAAATCAAAGGGAAAAATGCATGTTACATAAGTAGTCATTTTTTACCGAGCACGCTTTCTACAGGAGATTAGAAAAAAGTGCATTTAAAATCCGACATCCTGCCAAGTCGAAAATGTTATAAAAGTATGCCTTAAGCTAATCAATCTCACAACCACGACCAAGTAATCCTTCCTAATCGAAAACGCATTTCAGAATTTCAGCCAACATTTCATGAGATAGGTCAGGCATGAATAATATGTCCTTCATGGAAACTGAAGAAGTATGATATCGGCCTGACCTCCAAATTATTTTTTAGTCGAATAAATTTCGATGTCGGCTAGTTGCCGGTGTACTAATAATAATAATTATTATTTTTATTAAAGACCCGTCGGGGTCCCATCAAAGCAAGTAAAAATAAATTTACATGCGAATTTTAGACGAGGTAGGCAAAATCTGCACAAAGTGCAATACATAGTTTATGAATTAGCAGTCCGTTAAGAAAAATGATAAGCGAGGGGTGAAAAAAACTCCACATCAAAATTCAAAAATGATTGGATTAATTTTACAGGAGAAAAAAACCCCTCGAAAAAATAGAAACAGATAAATGCGGGCAGAACTGACCTGCATGTGGCGGTATAGAATGGATTATAGTCGGACATCGTCAGAGCCAAAATAAATGTCAGCTGTATATGGCATTGTATAACGGATTTCATGAAGGGGTAAGTAGGCGGGTCGGTCAGGACTGGCCTGTATGTGGCCTTGAATAAGGCAAATAAGTGGCGAAATTGAAAACCAGTCTCGAGGCCTTAGGAACCCAGATGCGGTCGGTTACATTCATCCGAGTCCACTCGAGGATGGGGCAAGGGAGATACGACCAGACTACTAGTATATGACGAATACAGAAAGTTTCGCCAAGAGCGTCGATGGAGCGCATTCTGTGAGGGCACGATGCATGAACTGAAAAATTGGAAAAATTAACATTTCTGGTGAGGGATCTTAGGAAGCGAGACTACTCACAAAGGAAGGAAATGTGAACAGATACGGAAATTTAATGGCGGCATGCTAAATTCCCGGTGGCCCTTTCTCAATGTCATAGAAAAATTTGTCTGGGAAGGATGAAGAAAATAAAAGTTTAATCGAGTCAGTATTCAGATAAAGGCGTAGCCTTCTCTTAAAGGTGTGTAGATTTTCTGAAGATCTTATATTTATTGGAATGTTATTCCAGAGGAAAGTATATCTGGAAGCGAAAAAAAGGGAGCGCTTAGAGGTGGAGGACGCTGGAGGGGG